AAAAAAAAAAAAAAAAAATCAGCAATTTAATCATCCGAGGAAACAAGAAAATTTATAGCTGGATTTTAAGACATAAACTCTAAAACATAGATAATGTAAAAAATTATTTTAAATTAACCTTTTATTCCACAATTAAATCATCAAATTATTCAACACATAATAACAAAAATTATGGTAGGTTTGTGATGTAATCCCACTAAGTACCTTAACGCAACAGATATTTTCTTTTAAAAGCAGTGGTATTTCCTTTGACCAAAAAAAGTAACTTCATTACTTATCAGTAGGCCTCTGAAGGACCACTGTAATTAAATTTTAGCCTGATTATCTGAAAGCTAGTTTTAATTCCTTTTTTGTAGTTACATTTAGATGTAATACTTGGTTCTTATAATTACCAATCATGAAATGGTTAATTGTATCTAGGCCGGTAACAAGTTTATCCATGCATTAAATGGCAACATAAGCAGAATGCAGAGTTGAAAAATGAGGATCAGATACATTCTACTGCAGACTTCAAAAGAGTATCAGTATAGTCAAAACTGCCAAATCCAGATGGATCAGTCTTCTCAGTGTTATCATCATCTGTAGTGAACTGGACAGGCTCATTAGTAAATTGAGAGTCAAAGTTGGCCAAACCTAATTCTTCAGAAACATTTGGTTTCAAGGGAGGTATCACCTGCTTTTGCTCCATCATATTCCAGTCACCATTTCAAAAGAGTGGATGCCCCTGAATATTAGCAAATCCTACTTGAGAATGGCAGCTCTATCATTCCTTTAGGTTCTTGTTGAAAAACACTTTAGGACACTCTTCTTGACACTTTCATTAAATATTTTTGGAACTTTTACAGACAGAGAATGCTGTATGTGAATTTGGTTTTCCAAAATAAATTGAGAGAGATAATCCTCTATTTTTGATCAGTGTTATCAACGCTCCCAGTAATATCAAATGGTGGTCTTCATCTCAAACATTACATCTCAGACAGTCTTCCAAGAGCCTGCCAGTCGGCACTGAAGCCATAATCATCTCCTCTTAAAATTTCAGGGGCAGTATAATCACGAGTACCACAGAAGGTGCTGGTCATATCTCCTGGTAGTAATTCTTACATACACCATAGTCTGGTAATACATTGTCCAATTTCAAATCTCTGTAAATTATCCCTTATTCACGAAGATAATTTAATGTCAAACTGGTTGCTGCAAAGTAAAACCTAGCATGTTCTTCAGGAAGTTTTCTTTGTTGCTGCATATGAAACATTAGATCTCCTCTATTTATATACTCTATAACAAAGAACAGTCTACTTTCTGTCTGAAAGCAAGAATACAGACCAACAAGAAAAGGATGATTAGATACCTGCTTCAAAATATGCTTCTGTCAACTGGTACAACCACTGTGGAAATCAGTGTGGAGATTCCTCAAAAAACTAGGACTATAGGTTCCATTTGACCCAGCTATTCCCCTTTTTGGTATCATCCCAAAAGAATTTAAAACATCATACCACAGCGATATATGCATATCCACATTTATAGTGGCACAGTTTGTAATAGCCAAATATTGGAAATGGCCCAAATGCCCATCAATCAAGGAATGGATAAAGAAGATGTGGGGTTTTTTATACAGTGGAGTACTACTCTGCCATAAAGAAAGATAAGCTTGAGCCATTTCTAGGTAAATGGATGCACTTGAGAACATTCTCTTAAGTGAAATAAATTGGACACATGTAAATACTGCATTGTTTCTCTGGTGTGAGAAATCAAAAGTGTAAATAAGGACCAAAATGTATAGTAGGTATTATGAAATAGGAAGAAAATGTAATGGGGAGGGGAACAAGGAAGAGGAAAGGAAAGAAGGGAAAAGTAAGAAAAAAGAAAAATATACTTCTCTTTATACTCAGTCAGTATCCTCATCATTACTGACAAACTCTTTTCACAACTTTCATTGCAGAAAAGGTATTTTTTATCGAAACAATAGTACTTCAGTATAACCTCCTTTTTTTTT